TGGGACTCAACATCAAGTTCAATAATTTTACAGTCTGATTCTATCCTTACATGTATTTTACCCATACACCCAGTCCTGTTAATGACATGGGATACTTTTAGAACAGCCAACTCATTTTCACTCACACTCAGGCCTATTATTACATTGCATGGTTACTTTCAGCACAGACTACTCATTCTCTCCTACTCTCTGCTCTCATTATCACTTATTCAGCTTCGCCTCTATCCTGGCCTGCGATTCGTTGTCCCCTTGGTTACCTACCCCTTTCAAATATCTCTCTCTTTATCCCTCATTGGGATCACCTCATCTCCCCCATGCCCCAAGCCTTGCCTTCAGCATGACTACCAGTTTTTGTTAGCTGCTTCATGGGTTCAAACCATTAACTTTACTTTCTTCCCACAGATGCTGCCAGACCTACAGAGTTTCATCAGCAATTCTATTTTTGTTTTAAAACTCATCTTTATGTACTACTTTGCAATTGCAGTTTAAAAAACAAATGTTGATAGTAGGTTTTTGCAGTAAGGAGAAAATGTTCCTATTCACAGAAAAAGTAGAGAACCAGAGGAGATATATTTAGAATGAGTGGTGGAACAGTCGAAAGATGACATAAGGAAAAACATCTTCAGGCAGCATGTGTTAAGGATCTAGTTTGGAGGGCTTTTCATTACAATATATGGAAAGTCAAATGTGGTTTTCAAAGAGAAACAAAATCTGAGATTCTGTGATTAAGCTGCAATTTTTAAAAAATGCATGAGTTCAGATTACATGGTAAAATGTGAACAGCAAGTTTGCATTCTTCAGCTATGTTCTGTACCCAAAAAGTAGGATAAATCCAACCCAGCCAATGACTGCCCTAGCAGTCATCAGTAAAGTTATGAAAGAGGTCAGAGAGAAAGCAGCACTTCCTTAGAAATAATATGCTCATTGATGTTCCGCCAGGAGTACTCAACCCGTGACCATATTACAGCATTGGTTCAAAACAGAAAAAGAGGTGAATTCCAGAGGTAAGGCCATTTTGACAAGAGTGTGACATCAAGGAGACCGAGCAAAACTAAAGTTTAAGGGAATCAGAGGACAACTCTCCACTTGGAGTCATACCTCACACAAAGAAAACTGGCTATTGGAGATCAGGTGTCGCAAGTGCAGGACAGCTCTGCCCAAGTTTGTCAGGGTAGGTACTTTTATAGGTTTTTAGAGCCAACCTGTTTGGAGAAGTTATGACATCTCTGGAGAAGGTAGGATTTCAACTTCTCAATCAAAAATAGGGACACTACCACTGCACCACAAAGCCCTTTAGTTCCTCAGGGCAGATATTTTCTTTTAAAGAAAACTGTTCAGAGATGTCATTACACACCACTGGAGCAGGTGGGACATGAACTTGGCACTTCCCGCTTAGAAGGAGACACTAACACAAGAGCCATATAATTCCTCAGGGTAGATATTGTTAATAACCAGTTCTGAAATGTCCCTGCACACCTGTGGAGTAGGCAGAACTTCACCAATGAACTTCCTTCAATCAACAGATTAGGAGTTTTATCATTTAACCTGGTCTGAAGAAATGCCCAAGACAAAATGGAAGAGGGAACAGGTGATGATATTAGTTGAAGAATTAATTAGCTTTGAATTGGTTGTATAAATATGAGGAGCAGTGAACAGTGGACAAGAGTTTAATGAAGTGGGACTTAACTGAAATAAAGCTCTCACATAAAAGTATGGAGCAAAGAAGTGGGAAGGCAGTAGTTCAGTGGGCTCGTCACTGGATTAGTATTCCAAAAACAGTTAAAATGTTCTTGGACATAAATTGCTGGAGAAACTCAGCCTTCAGGCTTATAGCATTTGCAGTTCTTTGTTTTGTTAAAATGTTTAGGGGGAAATGGCTTCCAATCCCACAATAGCATATAGTGAAATCTGAATTCAATAAAAATTCTGTAATATAAAGCTAACCAAGTAACAACCAACGTAACCACTGTCAATTGTTGTAAAAACCTCATCTGGTTCACTAATGTCCTGTAGGGAAGGAAATCTGACATCCTAACCTTGTCTAGTTTAGATGTGACTCCAAAGCCACAGCAATGTAATTGACTCTTAGCTGTCCCTGGGCAATAAACGTAGGCCTAACTAGTGACAGCCATGAACAAATAAAAAAAATGAGTTCTGCTTACATATGGTTACCTTTTGGAGTGTAACAAGAATTGGGGATGTTTGCTGACCATTGCAAGACAAGTGTATAGTTTTCAACATAATTTGCAACTCCTCAGATACTGAAGCAGCCAAGATTCAAATGCTGACTGGTAGCACATAACGTTCATGCCAGATAAGCAGAAGGTAATGACTAAATGGTTAGACCATTACCCCACGACATTCAATGGCATTACCATTACCATCCTGAGAGTCCTCACTAATCAAAAATTAAAGTGGACTTACCACACAATTACTGCGCCTATAACAGTAGGTCAGAGGCTAGGTATCCTACAGAAAAATGTATGTAAACCTCATTTAATTTTAGCATTAAACTAATGCAGAAATTGCATTATCATGACTCTCCAAAGCCTATCCACCATCTACAAAGCAGGTGTGCTGCAATACTCCACATGGTCTGGTTTACTACAGCTCTAAAACCCCTCAAGAAGCTGATGCTATCCAGGACAAAGCAGTCCACTTGATTGTTTTTGGATGTGGTGCCAATCACTACCTCATCACCAACTCACACTGGCAACTTTCTACAAGCTGCAATTCGGAAATTCACCAACTTTGTTTTGGCCACAGGAAGCATCCCAGTCAGATCCAATGTGGGTAAGAACTTTTCAAGAAATCAACAGGGATCAGACAAACTGCTACAAAATTTCATGGTTAGTGCGGCAACATTTATCCTAGGTTAGGGTTTTCTTTTAAGTCCAACTAATGAAGACACAGCAAATTTAGGATCCAGAGAAATAGTTAAGCATATTCTGAGGTCCTATTCACATCATATCCCGAAGAATAACAGTGAAAAAAGCTAAACAAAGGAAATTAAGTCACAAGAAATTAAATTGAACAAAACCAAGAAGAAACAATGACTGAAACCTCACATTTGTAAGAAATGGGCTAAATGGCCTGCTTCCACACCGTATGGATTCTACGATAATAACTGCCTAAAATTCACTAAAATAACACAGCTACAGTAGTGTTCTTTGGACCAAAACCTTTAGCGGACACTATGTTCAATACGTAACAGCTAGAGATTCCACCAATTGGTACTAAGGGTTGCGCTTGTGAACCCAATTGCAGGATAAGAGTTGCACAGAACGTGCAAGTTAAATTGTCATTAAAATGCTAGGCAACAGGTATGAGGACAATGCAATACATAAACTAAGTATGTAAACCTCATTTAATTTTAGTATTAAACTAATGCAGAAATTGCATTATCAGACATGCACCTTTGTTTGTAAAGAGTAATACTGACAGAATGTTTAGAGAAGGTCAATGCTATGTAGTAGTGACATGCATTTTGAAACTAACACAAATCAAAACACATGCAAATATGACACAGCTGGCAGCATTCACACTGAAGTAGAGGGCCATGGCTTCAATTCTCATTCTAGAACATCAGTATAAAAACAAAGATTTCTGTGCGGAGAAAGGGAAGAGGGCATTCAGACTTTAAACAGAATCTCCATCTGCTTGTTCAGGTGAATCTGAAATATTGCATGGCATTAAAAAAGAACAGAGTGTTCTAGTGGTGCCCTGGCCAACATTCCTTCCCTCAAACAATCTCATCACATCATACTAAGTGGATATACGACTGAGTGCAAACTAGCTGCCGTACCTCTACACGAAATTCACAACCATGAGGTACAAAAATATCTCTTATACCCCTTGATGCCCACCACAAAAACAGTACTGCTTAAGGAGGAGCTCTGCTCTAAGATTTCAGAAACCATCTGGTTACCTCTTGGACTTTAGAAAAGTAGAAGTACCAAATCAGTTTGTAATGTGCAACCATTTATAAGTTGTAATTGCAGTAAGTGTTCCTTGCATGGACCAAAAATTCCATGGAAACATTAATTTTCTTTCTGCTTTAACCAGAATCCTGCTTCAGTCAGAAATTATGGTTTGCATTTGTTCACTCCAGTTCTGAAGATAAAACAATGTACATGTCATTACTCCAGACTAATAAATAGGGAAAACACTAGATAGTCAGTGAACACGTCAAGTAATTACACATTTCTTTCCTCGATACATCTACAATAATTGCCCCCCACCCCACAACTGATTCAGAGCAAAGTAATACACCAGGGTAAGTGAACAGTTTAATGCCATCGGGGCAACAGAACAGTTGTCTTCCCGTTCCTGTTTGCCAGGAAAGCTCCTGCAGAATTAAAAGGCAGGAAGTGAAGAATCCATGACAAGAGTCGGCTTTAGTGTAAGCCTCTCAGTTGTTAGTATTCACATGCTCCAATTCTTCTCGACCATGAGATGTAACAACCCTTCCCGCTGACCTCCCAATCTACTTGTATAAGAACTTGGGGATGGCTATCCAAGTAAGAATAACGAGGGTGAGTGGGATAGAAATCATAAAAAAGGATGTAATCAGAAGAGTGCCAGTGTTAGAAACTTAGCAGGTCTGGCAGCATCTGTGGAAAGAGAAGCAGAGTTAATAAGAGTCCAACAGGGTTCTTCTGAAAGCCAGTAAGGATTCCATACACGAACACCATTTCTCCCTCCACCAATGCTGCTGGACCAGAGTTTAACCAACAACTTTGTTTCTATTTTAATTTCAAGTCTCTAGCATCAGCAGCACAATGCTTTAGAAGAATGTCATAGATTTGTGTTTTGTCTTGTCGTCTGAACTGTGACTTGGTAATCTTCATACCCACCCGAACCCTATCAACACTCAGCCTGTATGGGATACCCTAAGATGGGCAGGGATGTTGGGTCGCCTGTCTTTCCCTCTCTCAGGTACCCTAAAGTGGACAAGAGATGTTCAGGACGCCAGAACCTTTCTCGCTTTTCCTTCTCACCTTGACAACAGCGTCAACTTCTGCTCCAGCATCATCTCCAGCTTCTGAGCCTGCCTAGAGAGCCAGTGGTCCACACCGTGGAGCCGGTAGCAGCTCTCCAGCATCAACCTGAAGTCTGCTACGAACTCGGTAATGCCGCCGTACTGATTGCGCTGGAACTTCTCCTCCATGGTGTACAGCCACACAGGAGATGGCTGAAGAGGGTCGGTCGGCTCTCCTCCTACTCCTCCACCGGCCTGGACGAACGGCGCCGTCAGGTTGCGGTGCTTGTCGAGCAGGAACTCGCTGAGGATGCGGCGGCCCTGCTGCACCTCGTAGGTCGGGTCGTCGGGCTCATCGTCGTCCTCCTCCTCCTCCTCTTCTTCCTGCTGCTCGCTCCCGCCTCCGTCTCCATCCCGGTGCTGACGGTTCCCGAGCTCGGGGGGAACGGGTGCGGACTCGGTCCCACTACCGTCTTGCGGCCTGGCCGCTACCCCGTTCGCCTTGGGCAAGAGCCTCCCGCTAGCCGACCGCGTCCTGGGCCCTGTCCCCTCGACTCTTCGGGATGGAGGCCGTCCGCCGGCCTCGGCCCTCCCCAGAGAGCCTTGGCCCCCATCTTGGGGAGCTCCCGACTGTGGCGGAGAAGGAGGAGATCGGTCGTCGTTGTCGTCGAATGCCAGGCCTTCATCCCGCGGGGGTGATGGTGCCGCCACTGCCGCTTCAGCTCCGGCTCCATCTCCTCCAGCGTCACTCCGCTCCTCGCCTATAGGCCTCGGCCTCTTGCTTCGCCTTCGACCCGACGCCTCATCCTCGGCCCGATCGACCGCTTCATTGTCCCGTCGCCCAAGGGCAGCTTCGGTCGGGTTTCCATCACCTTCACCCGCCGCCGCTGCTGCTTCCATCCCGTTCCCCAGGCCCACCCCCCTCCACCTCCGGGCCTTGGAGAGAAGCCGGGGGGTGGTGGGGATGGAGGGGTGGTTTGATGGACTCAAGCCCCCGGAGCTGGGGTCTGCTCCCTGTTGACTGCTCTATCTATCTGTTTGCCTAATTGACTGTGTCCGCAGTGGGGAGAGGATGAAGGGGGTACGAGTCTTCCCTGACTCGGCCTGTCGCTCACCCCCTTGGACTCAAAATCCGTTCGTTGTCCCCCTCTCTCCACACTGCGGGGCTCCGGCCTGGCCTCCACTCGGGCTCGCAGTCCCACTCAATCCCATTGGCTGGCGCCCCTTTGATTGACAGGATACTCAGGCTGGGATCCGCATTCCATTGGTCGGCGGACGTTTGATTGACAGGGGGCCGCCTGCGCGTGAGTGCTGAGAGGTCGTTCACTCTTTGCAGGTTTACTACCTGCGCTCAGGTGTCACATCCACATGTACAGCACTATAATACATCGGACAACACTGATTGAACTTGCCAAAGAGGTTGCTTACCAGATCGGTAGGATTCAATGACAACGCTGCATGCTGCAATAATTCATGTTCCTCTCGTCGAGCTGACGTTTTTTCAACTTCTCTATTACAATGTCCCCGTCTGTACACTTCAAATCATCCAAATTTTATGAATTCTAGGCATCTGTGTTGATCTACAGATGTTCCCCACCCCCACCACCCCCAACATTTTTTTGGTAGTTAATGATCGGGATGTTTTGCGGGACGAGCTGTTTCGGTTTGTTTTCTACCCAAATGGGGCATTAGGTGACCCAAAGCTAAACGGAGATTCGCTCTAATCCAAAACTCTTGGAAGTTGAGGTGGCAGCTCGGGCTGCTTGTGAGTTTGACACGGAAAAAATGGCATTTGCATCACTTTATCTTGATTTTGGAGGGCGTCCCGTGCATCATCGGTTTCTGAGAGCAAGCTTTTAACTTCAGCTCTGGCTCTTTTTCATACGCTGCACGAACTTTCTTTTACGAAGTTATCTTGGTTCCACCTTTAAATGCAAAAAATTATAAAGCTGTAACAACTCAGTATGTCAGATGGCATCTGTAGTGAGAATATTCCTCGAGCCGCTGAGTTTCTTTTCATCTTGGATTTCCAGCATTTGCAACTTTCCGCGTTTGTATCAGAATCCACTTTTCAAAATCGTCGTTTTCCGCCCCACCCCGGGTAATTCTTCTACGACTGTTTTTATTCACCTCTATACTTGCTTGCTTAATAGCAGTACTTACATTTGGCAAAGGGACAAAATGAGAAAATAATTTTTCTTTAACCAAGCCACTTGTTTCAATGAGAGCGCGAATCGTGGGTTTCAAGGGAAAATTGGACAAGCACCTGAGATGAACAAAAATGGTCTCACTACCATGAATAGCTAAGGAAAGCGTCTAGCTGCGCTTCTTCCATTTAAATTGTATAATATCGCTTTTTCTATAATTCTATCAACTACCTGTCCATTAGTAAAACTATCACCAGCATTTGTTCCTGAGAGACAGTTTAAAATTGTACATCTGATTTGTGAGTCCAATGCCTATAAGTGGAGCATAAATGATAATAGCCCCAAAACATATCCTTGTGGAACACTACTGACCCAGAGAAGGTCAACCATTCAAAAGTGACTTCCTAATATAAAATTTAAAGAGAAAATGCTGGAGAAATTCAGCTGGTTTGGCAGTTTATGTGGAGAGAGAAACAGAAACAGGTGTTCTAAGAAGTCATGTTGGAATCCAGATGATAGCTATTTCCCTCTCTCCACAGATGTTGCGGGACTCACTTGGATTCTCGAGTATTTTGTTTTTTTTATTTCAGATTTCCAACATCTGCAGAATTTTGAACTTGATTGTTGAATATATTTGCCCAAACCCCAGAGCCACCAATTCTTTTGTGTGTTTCTGAGAAATACTTCTTGTCGGAAAATTTAAAAGGATAAGTTCTCATTGTTCTGATGGAGTCTGTTGATTCAACCATTTATATTTTGTTTTTATGAGAGTGAGTCAATGCCTGCCATATTTTCCGCCTTTGCTGGGAAATCACTTGAAAATTGTCATTATTTAGTTTGAAAACCTCTGTGCATTCTGAGAAATGTTAGCTTGGATATCAGATCACAATTTCCTGTCCAAATATTGATGCAACTTTCTATTGACACCTGTCCTCAGCACACATTTTGTTTCCATACTTGTCCCATTGACATCTCAGTTTTTTTATTGTGTCATCCTCTTTTGTTATTTGATCCTTCTTCCTTTTTATCCTATCACACCCTTTTGGTTCTTTCCCCTTCCCCTAAGTTTCCCTGTCTCTACACTTGCTTAAAACCTGATATATCCCTATTATTTTCCAGTTCTGATGAAAGGTTACAATTTGAAATGTTAACACTGTTTTGCTCTCTCCACAGATGCTGCCAGAACTGTTGAGTAATTCTTGCATTTTCTGTTTTTATTTCAGATTTCCAGGTTCCAATGTATTTTGTTTTTCTTTTTTCAATACTGCATACATAGAACATTACAGCGCAGTACGGGCCCTTCGGCCCTCGATGTTGCGCCGACCTGTGAAACCAATCTGAAGCCCGTGTAGCCTACACTATTCCATTATCATCCATATGTTTATCCAATGACCATTTAAATGCCCTTAAAGTTGGCGAGTCTACTACTGTTGCAGGCAGGGCATTCCACGCCCTTACTACTCTCTGAGTAAAGAACCTACCTCTGACATCTGTCCTATATCTATCACCCCTCAATTTAAAGCTATGTCCCCTCATGCTAGCCATCACCATCTGAGGAAAAAGGCTCTCACTGTCCACCCTATCTAATCCTCTGATCATCTTGTATGTCTCTATTAAGTCACCTCTTAGCCTTCTTCTCTCTAACGAAAACAGCCTCAAGTCCCTCAGCCTTTCCTCATAAGACCTTCCCTCCATACCAGGCAACATCCTGGTAAATCTCCTCTGCACCCTTTCCAACGCTTCCACATCCTTCCTATAATGCGGCGACCAGAACTGTACGCAATACTCCAAGTGCGGCCGCACCAGAGTTTTGTACAGCTACAACATGACCTCATGGCTCCGAAACTCAATCCCTCTACCAATAAAACCTAACACACCGTACGCCTTCTTAACAACCCTACCAACCTGGGTGGCAACTTTCAGGGATCCATGCACATGGACACCGAGATCTCTCTGCTCATCCACACTACCAAGAATCTTACCATTAGCCCAGTACTCTGTATTCCTGTTACTCCTTCCAAAGTGAATCACCTCAGCCCAGCTCTACAGCTTATCTATGTCCCTCTGTAACCTGCAACATCCTTCCACACTATCCACAACTCCACCGACTTTAGTGTCATCCGCAAATTTACTAACCCATCCTTCTATGCCCTCATCCAGGTCAATTATAAAAATGACAAACAGCAGTGGCCCCAAAACAGATCCTTGCGGTACACCACTAGTAACTGAACTTCAGGATGAACATTTCCCATCAACCACCACCCTCTGTCTTCTTACAGCTAGCCAATTTCTGATCCAGAGCGCTAAATCACCCTCAATCCCATGCCTCCGTATTTTCTGCAATAGCCTACCATTGGGAACCTTATCAAATGCTTTACTGAAATCCATATACACCACATCAACCGCTTTACCCTCATCCACCTGATTGGTCACCTTCTCAAAGAACTCAATAAGGTTTGTGAGGCACGACCTACCCTTCACAAAACCGTGTTGACTACCCCTAATCAAATTATTCTTTTCTAGATGATTATAAATCCTATCTCTTATAATCCTTTCCAACACTTTACCCACAACTGAAGTAAGGCTCTCTGGTCTATAATTACCAGGGTTGTCTCTACTCCCCTTCTTGAACAAGGGGACAACATTTGCTATCCTCCAGTCTTCTGGCACTATTCCTGTAGACAATGATGACATAAAGATCAAAGCCAAAGGCTCTGCAATCTCCTCCCTAGCATCCCAGAGAATCCTAGGATAAATCCCATCCGGCCCAGGGGACTTATCTATTTTCACACTTTCCAGAATTGCTAACACCTCCTCCTTATGAACCTCAATCCCGTCTAGTCTAATAGCCTGTATCTCAGTATTCTCCTTGACAACATTGTCTTTTTCCTGTGTGAATACTGACGAAAAATATTCATTTAGCGCCTCTCCTATCTCTTCGGGCTCCACGCACAACTTCCCACTACTGTCCTTGACTGGCCCTAATCTTACTCCAGTCATTCTTTGATTCTTGACATACCAATAGAAAACTTTAGGGTTTTCCTTGATCCTACCTGCTAAAGACTTCTCATGTCCCCTCCTGGCTCTTCTTAGCTCTCTCTTTAGGTCCTTCCTGGCTAACTTGTAACTCTCAAGCGCCCTAACTGAGCCTTCACGCCTCATCTTTACATAAGCCTCCTTCTTCCTCTTGACAAGAGATTCAAAACTCCCAACAGGGTGACCTCTCCTTTACTGTTTCTAACCTCAGCCCATACTACCTCAGTGGTCGAGTCCTCATCAAACGTCCTTTCTGCCACTGCAGTGCTTACCACATTGCAGGGAAGCATGGTGTCATGTTAAATTTCGTTTTTATGGACAGAAAAATGAAAATATTGGTAAACCTAGAAGCATAAGCCTGCAGAGATAGTAGGAACTGCAGATGCTGGAGAATCCGAGACAACAAGGTGCAGGGCTGGATGAACACAACAGGCCAAGCAGCATCATAGGAGCATAAGCCTGCACTTGTGTTTTGCTTGGAAGCCAGCACAGAATACAATTGGCTGACATTTAGGAGCAAGTCAACAATTCACCAACATTGCCAAGAATGGTACGTGGCCTGGGAAACTGACTGGAGAGTTAAAAGAAGTAAAATGCATTGTAAACAAACACCAATGAAGAACAGTTTCTGCAGTAGAGAGTAGACCACACTGACTTGACTGACCTCTGCTTCACTATACTGAATTTTATTTTTTGGCTGACTGAAATGATGACGAGTGGAATTTAACAAGCTGCGTGTGTCCTGGACTGAGATTATTGAAAAACATCTGTCTTCAATGGATTTCTTTTTAACGAGCCATGCAGAAGTACATAAGCTTCAAAATGGTATATTTGCAGTACCTCTCCCCACCGTAGGCAGAAAGACAAGGAAATACAGTAGGTGGTATTTAATGGAAGTGACAGGGATCTCACTTGCTGGCTCAAGACCAAGCGAGAGCCATACCTTAGGGAAGGCCTGGCCAAACTGGGACCTCAGGGACTTATCTGGATGGAGG